ATATGAGTGGTAGTGCATTGATTAATATTTGAATTTGCTTTCATTTGTATTCCCCTGAGAGCAGACCCTGAGACCAGGACTTCAGGGCAGGTAGTTTATTTGGACAATGATCCCAATATATAAAAATCAGGAAGATGTTCTCCCTCATATGTGGACATTAGATCAAGGGCAAACACAGCAAGGGGATTGGACTATGAGCACATGATAAAAGCGAGAGCACACAAGGGAGGGGTGAGGATAGGTAAGACACCCAAAAAACTAGCGAGCATTTGTTGCCCTTAATGCAGAGAAACTAAAGCAGATACCTTAAAGCAACTGAGGCCAATAGGAAAGGGGACCAGGAACTAGAGAAAAGGTTAGATCAAAAAGAATTAACCTAGAAGGTAACACCCACGCACAGGAAATCAATGTGAGTCAAAGCCCTGTATAGCTATCCTTATCTCAACCAGCAAAACCCCTTGTTCCTTCCTATTATTGCTTATACTCTCTCTACAACAAAATTAGAGATAAGGGCAAAATAGTTTCTGCTGGGTATTGAGGGGGGGAGCGGGAGGGGGTGGAGTGGGTGGTAAGGGAGAGGGTGGGGGCAGGGGGGAGAAATGAACCAAGCCTTGTATGCACATATGAATAATAAAAGAAAAATGAAAAAAAAATCAGGAAGAAAAAAAAAGAAAGAATCAGGAAGGAGAAAAGCCAATAAATGGTGTTTTAATGAGCAGATTATCTTTCTTTCCTAATACTCCTCATTTACTTAATTAAGTAGAACTTATGATACAGACACTCTGACCTTGCCCCAGACGATTGCTGTCCTGAAATTTAAATATGCTTGGCATTTAATGAAGAAAGTGCTAGTAAAGACTACAAGAAACAGGAACCCATGTCACAGACCCTTTAATTAGTAAGATCAGCTCAGACTCATTGTCTGAATGCTGAGGTGATAACGTCAAGATTTGACAGCAGCAAAATGATTTGGGTAGTATCAGGTGTGGAGCATACAGAACATGCTTATCTGGAGGAAATTTATAGTCAAACTCCCCTAGACTGACTTGAGTTTAAGAAATATCCTTTACACAAAGGACTTGGTGTACTTCTTATGTGCTCACAGCTTCAGTCTATTGGGATGAAGCTTTGTTTTCCTGCTTTGCTAAATAAAACATCTATAAACTTCTCACTTAACTAGATTCATCCTTAAATTCTTTTCTGTCATGAACTCTGTTGGCATCAGGACTACAAAAACAGCATTCTGTGTCACAAGTTCGGCACCTGAGTTCATGCTCTATGGGAACCTCTTAGATCCTGATTCTGGTGACACTCTTATCTCAGCCTCCCAAGTGCTTAGATTACGGGTATGTGCTTGCCCCAGGAAAAGTTTTATTATATAAACTGTCTATTAACAACCTGGAATCTTTGGAAGATAATATATATTCTAACTCAGTAGCAATTAGTCTCTGTGGTACCCAAATTGTGGTCTCTAAGTATCATTTTTCTGTTAAAAAGGATCTATAGCTTCTTTGAGCAGTGAATACTTGCTGGCTTGAGAAAAGACATGGCAAAATGAGCCTGAAATATCTTTTTGCACCTGAAAGCAAAGAAGCAAAAACTACTGATCTTATGTCAAAAAGATACAGCAACCAACTAGAAAGGAATTCTATTCCTAGCCAAAGATAGGATAATTTGAGTATCAAAAAGAATGAGAAAAATTAGTTTAAAATAATTACAATAAGTTAAACCAAATCAAATATATAAAAATGTATAATTTCATAATACTAAAATGCCCCCTTTTGGTCATCTTTGGAGGTTGTTAGGGCACTGATTCATTTCTCTAAAAAATTAATAAATGATAGTAAACATCAAACTTCTAACCTGTCTTTCCATATAGTTTAGGATGTCCAAAAAAGATGATGTGAGAAAGTTTTGAACATAAGAATCAGTGCTAATAAGCGAATAACAAAGAAATAACAGAATTTTGTTAAAGCAACATTTTGCAACCCCTAGTGAAACAATGGCTTTGGCAATTACCTAGCCACCATTGCATGTGTAAAATTATTCAGTTGTCACAACAAAGCTAAAGGGATATACTCTGTTTCTATTTTATTGATAAGGCTAAATAACTTGCTCAAAGGCACATGACTAGTAAGTAATACGGTAAGATTTGAACCAAGGCACTCCTGATGCTGGCTTATTACCAAACATTTCGTTGTATATCTTCCTAAAGAGAATTTTAAGCAATGATGTAATATAATTCCACTTATAGGAAGAGTACTCTGATTTGGTAGTGGAAGATAGATTTGAGAAAGGATAAATACGAGGCAGAAAGAGCAAAATGTTATTAATTCATTCATTTAATAAATACTTGTTGAGCATCTCTCTTGTGCTAGGTACCAAGAATACAGAAATACAGAACACAGGAATGATGTGGAGTTTACCTTTGGATGTAGAAAGAGGGTCAATAAACACATTAATAAGAAATAACTGTAGTATGTAAGATGGTAATAAGTGCTATGGAGAAAAATATAGATGAGAATATAAGGACATATTTCTGGGAGAGGTGTTACAATTTAAAATAGGAAGACCAGCGATGGCTTTACTGAACAGGTAAAAGTTGAAAAAAGTCCTGAAGGGGTAAGACATGAAGATGTATTGGAGAAGAATGATCTAGACAAATACAAGCCCCAAAACAGGAGTGGGAAACACCAAGGAAGCTAGAAAGGCTAAAACAGAATGAGTATATGGGAGAGGCATAGATGAGGTCAAATAAGGAAGTGATGGTAAGGTAGATTCTATAGGGTCTTTGGGTCGCTTGAATATTTGACTTTTGCTCTAAGAGAATGGAAAATCCCTGGAGAGTTCTGGGCACAGGAATGACATAATCTAACATAAAAATACAACAGCTTTATTCAGACATAATTCATATACCATAAAATTTACTTTTATAGTATGCAATTTAATGACTTTAAATGTATTTGCCTAGTTGTGCAATTGTCACAATGACCTAATTTCAGAATATTTTCATTATCCCAAAAAGAAGCCCTCTGTCCATAAACAGTCACTTTCCTTTTTCCCTCTTCCCCTCAGTTTCTAGCAACCACAAATCTAATTGCTGCCTCTGTAATGTGCCAATTCTGGATATTTCAAATAAATGTAATTATACAATATGTGGTCTTTCATAACTGGCTTCTTACACTTAGAAGGCTTTCAGGGTTCATCCATGTTTTAACATATATCAATACTTCATCCTTTTATTTCCCTATCTTATTCTATTGTACAGACATACAGGCACTTTGCTCATTCACATTTTGTTGATCCATTCATCTGTTGATGTTCAGTTACATTATTTTCACTTGATGGCTATTATGAGCAATGATGAACTTGTACTATTCCTGTAAAAGTTTTTGTATGGACATACATTCTTCTTCCCTCCCTTTGTTCCTTTCTTTTTTTGTGATACTGGGTACTGAGTCCAGGGGCTGCATGCTAGGCAAGCTTACCACTTGAGCTATACCCCCAGCCCTTTTGCTTTTATTTGGTTTTGAGATAGGTTCTCACTATCTTTGCCTGGGCTACCCTCAAATTTGTAATCCTCCTGCCTCCACCCCCTAAGTAGCTTGTATTACAAGTGAGTACCACCACACCTGGCTATATGTGTTCATGTCTTTTGGGTATATACCCGGGAGTGCAATTCATTATTAGGTCATGTGGTAGCTTATATTTAACTTTTTGAGGAACTGTAAAAGTATTCACACAGTATCTGCACCAATTTACAATCTCACCAGCAATGAATGAGAGTTTCAATGTATCTATCCTTATCAATATTTGCTGTTTTCTCTTTTTTTTTTTTTTTTTGTCTTTTTCTTTTTTGGTGCTGGGATCGAACCCAGGGCCTCGCGCATGCTAGGCAAGTGCTGTACCACTGAGCTACATCCCAGCTGTTTTCTCTTTTTTACTTTAGTCATCCTCAGGAGTGTGAAGTGATATTTTATTATAGTTTGATTTGCATTTCCCTGATCACTAGGGATATTAAATATGTTTTCATGTGTTTATTGGCCATTTGTATATCTTCTTTGGATAATTCAAATCACATCCTTTGCCCATTTAAAAAAATAGACTTTACTTTTTAGAATGGGGTTATAGTAACACAAAAATAAAAAAAAATAGAATAGAGTTTCCATATATCCCCTAATCCAGTTTCCTGTTATTAACATCTTACATTAGATTTGGTACATTTGTTGTAATTAATGAGCCAGTGTTGACAGATTATTAACTAAATTCTGTAGTTTTTTCTATTTTAAAAAAGTTTTTATCTAAACGTTCTTTTTCTGTTCTTAGATCCCATCAGGAAGCCACATTACATTTAGTTGTCATGTTTCTTTAGCCTCCTGTGGCTTTGACAACAGCTAAGAATTTCCTTGTTTTTGCTGATTTTTATAGTTTTGAGGAGTACTGGTATGTACTTTGTAAGATGTTCCTCTCTTAAAATATTTGTTCTTTCCTGACTAGACTGGGATGGTGAGTTTGAAGGAGGAAGATCACAGAGGTAAAATGCCATTTTTATGACTTCATACCAAAGATCCACATGATTTTTGAATTGGATAACAGAATTTGTCCTTTATTTATTTATTTATTTATTTATTTATTTTTGGTCCTGGGGTTTGAACTCAAGGCGTTCACCTTGAGCCACTCCACTAGCCTTACTTTTGTGATGGGTATTTTAGAGATAGGGTCTTGGGAATTATTTGCCCAGGTTGGCTTTGACCCACGATCCTCCTGATCTCTGCCTCCTAAGTAGCTAAGATTATAGGCATGATCCACCAGTGCCCGGCTGTCCTTTTATTTATTTATTTTTAACCATGAGCAAAAGCTTTATTGCTCCAAGCACTTTACATGAATGTCACCAACACCACATTTGGGCAAATATATAAAAAGCACAACTTATGTACAACTGTTTCAACTTCTTGACTCATGCACTGTACAGATGCTCCCCAGGATCACTCCCAGCATGATGAGTGGGTTTCAGGCACAGCAGCTGCACTTGTCTGAGCCCCCTTTGCAGATGCAGCCCCGGGCACACTTGGCACAGCCAGGGGGGCAGCAGGGACAGCAGCTTTTGCGACATGTTTTACAGTTGCAAGTTGTGCATTTGCAGTTGTCTCCACAGATGCAGATACCTCCAGACATACAAGTGCATTCCCCAGGGTCCATGGTCCAAGTGTGCTAGTGGCTCTGGTGCAGTCACAGCTGAGGAAGGGAGGCTGTCCGTTTATTTTTAAATGGGAAGAATTCCTATGTATTCTGATAGAAGGCCCTCATTGGATATGTGATTCGAATTTTTTTCTCCCATTCTTTGATTTTGTTTTGTCTTTCTTCATGGTATTCTTTGAAGCACAAAGTTTTTATTTATTTATTTACTTTTTTTGTGGTACTGGAGACTGAACTTGGCCTCATGCTTGTTAGGCTAGTGGTCTACCACTTAAGCCATGCCCATAACACTTCTGTTTTTAGTTTTTTTTTCAGATAGGGTCTCAAGTTTGTTTTGTCTGGGCTAGCCTTGAACTGTGATCCTCCTGTCTTGCCTCCCAAGATTAAAGGTGTGAGCCGCCATGCCTGGCCCTTTAATGTTTTAAATGGATCATTTGCCTATTTTGTAAAGAATTGATTGAAGAGGAGAAAGATATAAAACAGGGAAGCCAGTTGGGATGCTGTTGTGCTAATCCAGGTGAGAGATGATGATGGCTTATAGTTTTTCAGATCAGAAATGATGAAAACTAAATGGGGTATTGGCTCAAGTGTTAGAGCACTTGCCTAACAAGTTCAAGGCTTGAAGTCAATCCCCAGTAGAGGAAAGCAGGTACGAACTAATCTAGTGTTCATCAGAATAACAAGATATTTTATATATAATATATTCGACATATTTATTTTTTGTGGCATTGAGGATTGAATCCAGGGCCTCCTGCTCAGCTCATGCACTCTACTCGTAAGCTACATCCCTCACCCTATTTATTTATTTTTGGTTGTACTATGGTTTGAACTCAAAACCTCATACTTGCTAGGCAGGCACCCAATATTTTAGAGCCATGCCTTCAACATTTCAGAAATTCTTTTTAAGGATATAATGAAATCTCTTATTTTTAAAGCAAGTTTAAACATAGCAAAGGTGGTTTTTGTTTGTTTTTTCTTTAAAACAATACTTAGCTCAAATACATTAATTTTTTTTATTATTTTGTTCTTTAAATTTTTTAATAGTCCTTTTTATTTTTTTTTTAAACTTTTTGCTGGCACTAAGGTTTTTTTTTTTTTTTTTAATTTTATTATTCATGTGTGCATACAAGGCTTGGGTCATTTCTCCCCCTGCCCTGGCACTAAGGCTTGAACTCAGGGCTATGTGCTTGTTAGGCATTTGCTCTACCACTTGAGTCATGGCCTCAGCCAAATACATTAATTTATTTGTGATTACAATAATTTTACTATTAGGCATATATGTAGGCAAGCCACAAATGCAGTGCTCTAAATAATTCAAAAGGCTATAAGCTAACATAATTTAATTAAATACTTTTTTTGTTGGCATATATTTGTACTTATTTATGGGATGCAGCATTATAATTTAAATCCTGTACACAATGTTTAATGATCAATTCTATGTATTAGAGGCCTTCAAATTCTTCTCCTTTATTTTGAAATGTAGGATTAATTGTTGTTGACTATAGTTAATTTATTGTTCTATATAACTAAAAAGAGATATTGTCAATAAGATCAACAGAACTTTGTGACAGTTGAATGTGATATTGAGCATAGCGGGTAATGTTGGTGTCCTGCCAATCTTTTTTACTTGGCTTGTAACCTAGTAAACCATCCCCCAGCTCTTGCAGGTGTTGGTCAGTAATGGCCATACCCCTACTTTTGATATTAGCTTCCTCACTCAGAGATCTCTGAAAGGTTAAATGGCATGCACCCCTGGAGAAGACAATGACTAACTGCTATGAGGGTATGAAAGCCTATTTGCACTGCCTAAGGTATTATACGTTATAAGTATTCTAATGTCTAAACTGTCCAGTGGGAATGAGGAACTTTCTCTGGGGCATGAAGAACTCATTTATTAACAGAAGTTATATATTAAGCTGTTTGGATCAAGCATGAAAATTGTCTCACAAGATCACAAGCAATTTGCACAAGGACTTTAGAGACAATGAGAATATTTGTGGTTAGGCTGGGCTGGAGTGGCAAAGTGCCTGCCTAGCAAATGTTAGACCCTGAGTTTGAACCCCAGTACCACAAAACAAACAAGCTGGGTGCCAGTGGCTCATGGCTCATGCCTATAATTCTGGCTACTCAGGAGGCAGAGATCAGGACGATCATGGTTTGAAGCCGGCCTGGAGAAATGGTTTGCAGGACCCTATCTTGAAAAAAAAACACAAAAAAGGGCTGGTGGAGTGGCTCAAGGTATAGACCCTGAGTTCAAGCCCTAGTACCACAACAAAACAAACAAACAAACAAAAACTTATGTTTAGAAAGTAAGAGAAAAATGAATCCTCAAAAGCTGTATTAGGGACTGGTCGAGTGGCTCAAAAATGGGAAAGTGCCTGCCTAGCAAGAGTAAGATCTTGAGTTCAACTCCTACTACCACCAAAAAAATTATGTTAGTTTAATATGCACAAAATACAGGTAGAATATTAATACAGGAATATTAAGTTACTTGGGTTTTGTTTTGTTTTGAGACAAGGTTTGTTATGTTGCTTAGGCTGATCTCAAACTCACAATCCTCCTGCCTCAGCCTCCTGACTATTGGGATTATAGATGTGTACCACCATGCCCTGCCAAATTCCAGTATTTTATAACATAGCGGTGTGGCTATAGTTAACAATAACTTATTGTATATTTCAAAATAGCTAGAAGAGAGGATTTTGAATGCTTCTATCATAAAGAAATGATAAATGCTTGAGGTGGTAAATATGCTAATTATCTTTCATTGCATTGGGGGACACAGATGTTCAGGCTATAGTATCATTTACTAATTATAACACCACAATAAGGTAGGTATTCATTCCATTTGTTGATGAAGAAACTAAAGCATAGAGAGATTAGGTAACTACCAAATGTCACACAACTACTAAGAGACGTGGTCTGAACTTTCATCTTCAGCACTATTATGGCAGAGCTTATGCTTCTACACTACTAACAGATAATTTAACTTAATTACATTCCCCTTATCAGCTCTGTCTCTTCCACTGATGATACTACAACCAACAGGACTACATTGTTGCCTAACTTCCAGGGGTACCAGTCATGCTTACATACAACCAATATTTAGAGGGGGAAACTGTAGCTTTAAAACCATATTAGAAAAGAAAAAAGCTGGACATGGTGATGTATGCCTGTAATGCTAGCAGTGGGGTGGCGAAGGCAGGACTGTCAGTTTGAGGCTAGCCAGGGCTACCTAGCAAGATTCTTGTCTATGGCTGGTGGAGTGGCTCAAGCGGTAAGAGTGCCTGCCTAGCAAGCGTGAGGCCCTTAGTTCAAACCCTGGTGCTACCTAAATAAATAAATACATAAGTACATAAATAAATATCTGCCAGACTCTGCCTAAAAGCCAAACAAACAAGGGTCTGGTGGAATGGCTCAAGTGGTAGAGTGCATGTCTAGCAAGCATAAGGCTCTGAGTTCAAACTCCAGTACTGCTAAAATAAAGAAACAATTTAAAAAAGAATGAAAAGTCAGGAACTAAGCAACTGCAAATGTAGGAAATTTTAAAAAAGGGAAAAATAATAAATATAAGAAAGTCAAAATGAAAAAATAATAAACATGAGAACAGAAATTAATAAGTAGGAAATAAAGATACAGGAGAAAGAATCAACAAAATGAAAAGTTAATTCTTTGAAAAAAATAAGAAAATTGAGAATGTTATGGCATTACTGACCAAGAAACAAAAGAAGATGACAAAAATAATATTAGAAAAATTTAAAAGGGTTATAACTACAGATGAAGCAGGAATTAAAATTTCAGAATATTATTAAAATAATATTGTTTTTAGTATGTGCTGTTGGGTTTTAAAATTTAATTTATAAAATATAAATTTCTAGAAAATATAAATTAGTAAAACTGATCCAAGAATAAACAGAAAACATGAAAGTTTTACAATCATTAAGGAGAACAAATCAACAGTTAAAAGCTTTGATGCCAGGCATGGTTGCACAGGCCCGCACTGAGTAGACTGAGGCAATGGAACTATAACCTCAAGGCCAGCCTGGGCTACTTAGCAGAATCCTATCTCAAAACAAACAACCAACAACAACAATAGCAACAAAAACAAAAAAAACTTAGCCAAGAAAACAGATAGATCCACATAATTTTATAGGCAAGATCAACCTTTTCCAATCTTACTCAAACTCAATGAAAAAAAAAAAACCAAACACTACCAAATACCAAATCCAGGTTAGTTAGTTGTTCAAGGGATACAAAGTTTCAGTTATGCTAGATGTATAAATTCTAGAAGTCTACTGTATAAAGCAGTGCCTGTAAGCAACAATATGGTATTGTGCACTTCAAAATTTGTTAACAGGGCCTGGTGTGGTAGTGCAGTTATCTGTAATTCCAGTGTTCAGAAGGTAGAAGAAGGAAGATCATGAGTTTAAGACCAGCCTAGGCTACATAGTGAGACCCTGTCTCAAGACAAAACAAAACAAAACAAAACAAATGTTAATGGGATACATCTCATGTTAACTGTTCTTGCCACAAAACAATAGCAACAACAAATCAAAAAAGAAGCCAAAGGGACACAAAGAAACTTTGGGAGATGTTGGACATGTTTATTACTTTGATTATGGTGATGGTATCAAACATAATTGCCTATGTTCAAACTCAACATTAAAAGGCTGCAGTTTGGTGCCAGTGCAAAGCACCTTGGTGCAGCTGGGCAGCAATGAGAGTGAGCCTGTGGCTGCAGCGATGCATGGAACCTAGAAGTTATGCCAGAGGCAGGACATCTCCTCCTGGCTGGCTCAATGTTTCCCCAAAACCCCAGTGAAACCCGTGGCCCTGTAAACACCCATCAAGGTGGAGCTGGTGGCTAGAAAAACCTACAGGTGGTTTGTGTGTGAGGGCAGCAAGAAGCAGCCCTTCTGTGATGGCTCCCTCTTCTTCCAGCACACTGGCCTATCCCCACTCAAGTTCAATGCTCAGGAGACCCGCAAAGTGGCCCTCTGTACCTACAAGACCACCCAGAAGCCCCCATACTGTGATGGCACTCACAAGAGTG